AAATAGGATATCAGTTAAAGAACTAAGAATCAAAACCACCCAATGGCAATCGTCCAAATAAAAAATCAATATAAGATCCTCCAAAGATAATCAAGACAAAGTATCCAAACCTGAATCACGCACAGAATATCCGGTAGCTGGTTTTCGGATTCATTAACTGGGCCTAACAGATACAAAACACGTGTTAGTATAGAGTAATAGTGTTACCATAATAAAGAGGTGAGGTCGCAGAACAATTTGGTCCATACCAAGCAGTACAAAAAGGTGATGTGCGGGTGCATCAGCCATTAATTGCAAGTCATTGGGTGAATTTTTGTAGTGAGAAGCAACATAAAGTGCCATCATCCGCTGAAATATTAAGTATGTAGAATAAATATCGATTTAGAGACATGTAATGCAGGTATACTTAGGTTTCTAGTAAATGCACAGAATTACAAGGAACACAGAACATTTTTAGATCATACCTGTAAAAATACCTCACTCTCCTTGTGATACGAGAAAAGTGTGTCCCGGTTGACATAATACAGCTGACAGTGTTCTGGATGAGGTAGCCTAAGAAAACCAGGTTTGCTTGCTAAACACACGGCAGTACAAGAAAATAGATGTACAACACCACAAGAAACAACGTGACTTACCTACTGATGTTTGGAATGGAGTTTGCAAGATCCAAACAAAGCAACTCATTAAGCCAGGTCTCAATAGGATCACCAGAGGCATACCTAATGGATTCATTTAATTCAATTTTTTTAAACAGCCTGCCTACAAGCCAAAACAAAGCAAAAGGCACGTGTAAAGCATCCAAATATTCAGAAGGTTCCTTGAAATGTAGACAGCTCATTTTAAGATGAGGCGACTCTTACTGGAACTGGGTCCATCACTTGAAGCTGATGGCTGGCTTTGGGATTCTAACTGCTGGAGGAGTTTCAAAGACAAGGATCGGCCTGTCCCTTCATACCTTCAACAGAAATATCCAGAATGATCACCCCCATGATTTATAGTTCTAGAGCATTAGTAACTGAAAGCAATCATACCCGTTGACAGTGGAAGATAGGAAAACAAGATATGGGCCAAGCAAGGCTTTAACAATTGGCAATGGAATAGCGGCTGCTTCATCAATGACAAGAAGTTCAACTTGAGAAAGCTTTCCATGATCATGTGGTTTCAAATACTGCAAACATTAGAAACTTTAGAAGCAGTTTATCGATGCTAAGCAAAGTGATGTTCAACAGTACAAAATATGTCTACAAACAAGTAGGATATCAAAATTTCCAGGGTTGGGCGCAGGTACGCTGGACCTATGACTAAGCACATGGAAATTTCCATGGAGGAACTGTGAGACGTTCGAATTTACAAGGGCCTAGACCAGAAAGCACTAACATATCAAAAATATTTGGCCGAATGATGGTGCATGAACTACAGAAAAGACAAGTCCCATGCAAAAAGAATACACACCACCAAACCAATTACCCAGAAAAAGTAAGCTTTGACATAGCATGATCTTATGTCACACTAAGGAATCATCAATATGAGTGTTCCAAGATTTTAGGTCATGAAATAACACCCTTCTAAAATCAATTATACATATTAGACGACATGCTTGTCATCAATTTGACATCATCAGCAATATTGCATGTGTAATGCAATTTCACCAATATACCTTATAAGAATATAATCCCAACATCATGCATTCAAATAGTACCATACAAGTATATGGATCACCCTCCAGCACTTACGGAGATAATTAAGTCCAGTGCCATATTGCATGATGCAAAACCTCATCAACAGTTTACATTTCCGCTTAAAGAAATTGACATGTATTTTTTTAATATATTACATGTAGTTCAAAATTCTGCTACCAAATCACAAACACAAGTGTCTACAGCCCTCCCTTTTCAAACTACTCCCTCCGTAAACTAATATAAGAGCATTTAGAACCCTAAAGTAGTGATCTAAACACTCTTATATTAGTTTACAGAGGGAGTATTTCTGCATTGAATGAGCCCCAGTTTAATTAGTTTTTGGAGGCGATTTGAAATCAGATGAAATTAAGGGTAATTAGTACTATAAGAGTCGGGCATAAATGTAAGCTTTATTTCTCATCTACAGATCTGATCTTTTGGATGGAGATAGTTTGGATCGACCCTAACTTGTACTTTTATTAGTAGTACAGCTCTAGATTAATAGATATGAGTAGACACTTCATAAGAATTAAGCAATAGTCATAATAGCGCCTAGCTAGGCTATAAGGTTCCAATCCTCAGAGGCTCTTCAATTGTTCGACTATTGAATATCGATCTACTGAAGCAGATAACACATCAATACCATTTTTTCATCTGTACATCAAGGCATGGTTTTTGAGTCGCTGATTAGTCGCTGTATAGTCGCCGACTAATCGCCAAGTCGTTTTCCAAAAATCAGGGCGACTCGCGACTATACAGCGACTTACGTCGACTATACGCCGAGCCGCAGGGCTCGCGAAGACTCGCCAAGTCGCGACTCAAAAACCTTGCATCAAGGTAAGCAAAGATGAACTATGGTTCTCAGGAATAGGAGAATCTTGATAAATAAATAATCAAACTAGTTGCCACCATTGTCGAGGGCATATCTGTGTAAGCTTTATCTTAAAGCAACCAAAGGCTTTTAAGTTCTTGCTGAAGAACTTTTAACTTCCAAGGCTTTCCGGGGAAGCTAAAGGATCCCTTTCAACATAGAAGCTGAAGTTCTTCACCAACTCACTATGAAATTAGATTCTAAAAGCTAAACATCCCAGAAGGACCAGGAAGTGATAGGCTGGTAGCAACCAAGTAGTATTTTTAATGATTTATTACCTGGATCGTTTGACGATGTTGCTTATGGACGTTTATTTGTATTATGGCTTTCCTGAGATTTGGATCCGAACTCTTCACTACATCATAATGCAAATGCTCCTGAAAGGGGGTGATGAAGCACAGATGCGTTCACATAAGATATGTTTAAACTTTAACAACAAGACAAAATATTAGACATATACCTTGTACTCCATTGCATTTATTCCTTTGCAGACAAAATCAAATAGTGTATTTAAGTTCTCAGGACTTGGTGCGGTGACAAATATATTTGAATACCTACAAAGACAAAAAATTAGAGGAACACATGAAATGAAAAACATAAATAACACAAGTGAGTTAAACTTTACCCAGCTGCGATGGCTCCAGCAATAGCAAGACCAAGGGCAGCTGATTTCCCACGTCCACGAGCAGCGAGCAAGGCGACCGTGCTCCTAAGGGACTTGTCCAAAATAGAGTCTAGAAAATTGATAACAGCTTTACCCTGCGTATATTGTTTCAGTTTGAGTTTATGACCAATAAAAAAACATGACTAAGGAAAATTTGGACAGGGTAAGAGGCAAATAGTACCTGATCCATAGTGCAACACTTTCCAATTAAAGGGCCAACCGGGAAGTCTTCACGGAATTGATCTTTTAGGTCTTTGAGCTCTCGTTCCCTTTCAGACAATCCCTCAGAATCCTAAACACATGATAATAAAATATGCGTGTCTTAGATGTTAGATGACCAAATTGGCACAACCAGAATCTTCAAGAAATGCATAATTTCACCAGCTGAGCTTCATACCTCATTCTTTGTAACTGGTTGTATAAATTTCATGTGGGATGATATAGGCAAAATGTTGAGTTCGTCATCCATCACAATACATGCTTTGCATGAAGCTATGGACAGTAAGAACCTCTCGTTAAACCTTGTGGCTGCCTGAGTATGAGACTCTGTTCGGAACCTTTCGTGAACATCCTGTTAGCACAAGGAACATGTGAGTTCAATTTAGCTTAGCAGGACAGGGAGGGGGCAAAGAAGCTAATCAACAGCATTGAATCAAAATTTATCTTTGTTTGACCACAAAACTTGATTACCCCCGCCGGAAGCAATAGTGTAGGAACGTGCAACAGAAAACTGAGCTCACCATGACCATCGTGTAGAGACTGGTCAGCGAGGAGAGCGAAGAGAGCAGCAGGATGACCAAACCGCCGCCCTCAACGGTCTCAATGGTCCTGGCCAGAAGGTTCGGCGTCAGCGCCTCGAAGTCCTGCAGAGAGCAAACACACAGTTAGTTTCAGGCAGAGCACCACAGGCAGGCAGCAACATGACCGCAAAACAGTGAAGCCGCAGCCTCTGAAGCCATCATCATCATACCTGCAGTATGCACATGCCAAATGTGTTGCCGAGGACCCTCTCCGAGTCCTTGTACATGCAATAGGTGATGTCGGAGGTCTCGAGGAAGAGGGAGAAGGGGTCGGCCTTCTCGGGGTCCATGAGGCCGCGCTGCATGAGCTTCTTGATCTGCTTGGCGCGCTTCTTCCGGTGGCTGCTGATCTCGAGCTTGTTGCGGTAGCACCAGAGCACGGAGGGGCGCGACTTGACGCGGGACTTGGCCAGCATGTAGTTGAGGTTGACGATCTGGTCGCGCGACTTGTCGCCGACGATGATGAACATGGACCGCTGCCGCTGCCGCACGCCATTCTCGATCAGCGTGCGGATGCGCTCGTCCACCTTCTTCCTCATCCTCGCCGCCGCCGCCGCTCGCCGGTTCTCTCTCGCGAATGGGGATTGGGAGGGGGGACGGGGTTTAGCTAGGGTTTTCCGGCTGCCGGCGTCCACCTGATATGACGAGACGGAGAGGAGGAGGGGAACCGGGAGCGTGGACGGCCGGATGCGGGTGCCTTCGACGGTCCAGATTCCTCCATTTCTTCCTGCGAGAGTGGTCTCTCTGGCCTCGACGGTGGAATGGGCTGGAGAACTGCGGCCTACTAAATTGGGCCCACAGCCCAACTTCCCGCTCTATCTCGTAGGCCCGGCCCTGCCCCGCCCGGCTCTGTCAGGGGTCCCATTCCGCAGAGGCTATACGTGGGCCCCACCGAAGTATTCTCAGGGCTTTCTTTCCCGAGCCGAACAAAGCCGCCGCCGCCGCCGCCGCCGGACGAGGGGTTCGCCGCTGGCAAGTCTTCCAGGATGGGGTACCACCGGCATAGACGCGGGCGTGGATCCTCGTCGTCCTCCTCCTCCTCCTCTTCGCGCCGCACCAAGCAAGAAGCCTCGTGGTAAACCCACTTCCTCCGAGCGCTAGTTTGTTTCCCGTCCAAAGAGTTCTGCCTTCCTCTAGGTCTCTGCTTAAGGGCCTGTAGGATTTTGCTCGAATTTTCGGGCCGTGGCTTTGGCAGTTAGACTAGGTTTCACTCGTGTTTAGCTGATCTCACTGATGCGGGGAGGATGGAATGTGTACTTCAGTTGAAGTTGCGAATCTGGATTGTGATACCAGCATCTTTTATTTTACAAACGGGAGTAAAATAACATTCTTTTATCTTCAATTTCAGCGATGATGCTCCTGGGACATCACTTCCAAGGCAGGAAGGTACAAATTCCCTGGAACTTCCTGTTTGTTTATGGACAGCTCTTGCTTTAAACAGGCTTATGGTTGACAAATTGCTATGTGAAATTGAGATGCGTTTAGACGAAAATATACCGCTCGTAAAGTGTCGTGAAACATACAGTGACTTAGTGTTTGCTTGTATGGTCACTGATGAGGAGGAGGGGGGACTCGCCACCTGAATTTCATTCATTTATTGACCGGAGTTATTTCAAAGGTTACAATTTACAGGAATTTAATAGCTCATAAACTATGATACCACTTATCGGATCCAACTGCGCAGTTATATAACAGTGTGTGCTGCAGTCAAATGCATATTGGGACTATGAGCTTCATGAAATTGTTTGACAGTTTACAACATTCCTGAAACCTTATTATTGATAATGCTATTTTGATTTTCCAGACAACGCCGAAGAGGAATCTAATAGCCCAAAAATTCAGCTTGCAATGTGGGTAGGTATGATGTTTTCAATTCTTCTTATGCTGCTAATTTGACAGTGTGTGTAAGCTCTTATGTTTTCCTATAGGACTTTGGGCAATGCGATGCTAAAAGATGCACTGGTCGTAAGCTTTCAAGATTTGGGCTGTTAAAGGTAAGGCACCACTTGGTTCACAACGTCTAAAATTCAAGACCCATTCCCTCCTCTCAAAACAAAGGTACATGCTAAAATGAAAAATAAGAAAAAGTAAACTACACATACTGCATGCACACGTATATAGTCAAGGTCATTTAATATCATCAAGCTGATTCTTCTATGCTTTTGGTAAATTATACTCTTCTTACGACATGCTTTCTCTAACAAGTTTGTTGTTTGTCTTGCAGGAGTTGCGAGTTACTAATGGTTTTGGTGGTGTTGTTCTCAGGTATTGTATAAGATATGCGATAAAAGGAATCATCTGCAACTCTTTGAAACTTAGCTTTGTGATTTCTCTCAGTTAGGTTATCCTGTATAAGTTTATAAAACGTTGGATTTCTCTCAGTTTGGTAATCCTGTAAATTTTGTAAAAAAGCTAAACATGCTCATGTAAACTTGGCCTCTGAGATACATATTTACTCCAGCTGATTGTTTTCCTTCTTTTGCTTTCAGCCCTGTTGGGACACATTGTGTGTCCAAGGAAGATCATCCTATCGTGCAACGAAAAGGATTGGCTGTGGTTGATTGTTCTTGGGCACGTTTAGATGATGTCCCTTTTGTGAAACTACGTTGTGGTGCTCCTCGTCTCTGTAAGATCATCGTATTTAAGTAAATCCACTAAGGAGGTGCATCATTTTATTTTGATTTAGAAATGTGGGATTATTTTCTCATACCTGTTTTGCATGAACTACACATAGCAGACGAGTAAGATGGTTAACTAGTTATTATTTGTAAATTTATCATTGGGTCATGCATCCCTTCGAGTCAAAGTTCCAGACTCTCCCTGCTCTTTCAGTTTATATTCTAGAACATAACTTTGGCATGCTTTCATAGAAAGTCTTTTTTCCCCTTGTTTCCCTTTACCCAAATTAGGTTGATAATTAGTTCCTGTCGCAAGGCTTTGCCTCTTGTAGATCTGTGTGGATTCATTAAATTGTATGTTTTATTCTACTGTTTGCAGTGCCATGGTTGGTAGCAGCAAACCCTGTGAATTATGGCCGGCCATGTCAGCTTTCCTGTGTGGAAGCTTTGTCAGCAGCCCTCATAATATGGTAAATTTTCTAGCCTCACTTATCTAGAATTGTTTGTTAAGCTATTGATGTAGATAAAAAAATTCATTGGTTGGTGCTTTGAGCTTTGGTATTACTTCTAGGCTTTTGAGATGTGGCAATTTTGGGCATTTTGTTGTTGACGAACTAGTTTAGTGCCTAAACTTTCTCCCAAATGTTCAGTTAAATTGTACTTCCTCCGTTCCTAAATATAAGTCTTTTTAGAAATTTCAATAAAAACTACATACAGATGTATATAGACATATTTTAGAGTGTAGATTTCACTCATTTTGCTCCGCATGTACTCCGCATTGGAATCTCTAAAAAGACTTATATTTAGGAACGGAGGGAGTAGGTCTGAATCTATGGTGTGACATATCCAGCGTGTGAATTCATAGTTCAGGATAGTGCTAGTTATTTTCTGCCATGGTTTTAGCTTATGTTATAACTATATTCGCAGTGGGGAGGAAGAGACAGGAGAACAGCTGCTTGCGAAATTCAAGTGGGGTCACTCGTTCTTATCACTTAACAGGTCAGTCCACTAAATACTTTTCGGAAATGTTAACGCCCACACGTGTGGGCGTTTGCACATCGCTCACACGCCTCCATCACCACTCATTTTGCCACGTATAAATAGATGACATCAGCAGAATTTTTTTTGGTTTTCGGCTTAAAAATGTTGTATCTCCTAAATAAAAAAGCGAACTAAAAATCCGTTTTCACCATTAAATCCGTCTCGACGAGATCTTCAAAACTAGACCCCATGTTGATATGTTTCGATGAAAATTTTTTTTTGCCAGAAGTTGCCACGATGTTTACACTGCAGTTGCCATAGGGCTTAAACTAAAGTTGCCATGTGGCAATTTTAGTTTGTAGATCATGGCAATTTTAGTATTTTGATGATGGCAACTGCAGTACTTTGACCATGAAAATTATTTTTTGTATGAACCATGGCAATTTTACGTGCATGTATCATGGCAATTTTAGTTTATGGTTCATGGCAAGTCTAGTTTCTTAATTCCCCGTTTTATAAATGTGAAAAATTACTTTTAAATGTAGAAGAAAATAGCTGAAACATATCATGGCAACTTCAGTGTAAACATCATGGCAATTCATATGCAATAGACATGGCAACTTTTAATCCAAAAAAAATTTCATCAAAACATATCAACATGGGATCTAGTTTCGAAGATCTCATCACGAGGGATTTAATGGTGAAAACGGATTTTCAATCGGATTTTTCGTTTAAGAGATAAAACATTTTAAAAACTGAAAATCCAAAAAGATTCCTGCATGCATGCATGCGATGACGTGGTAATCTGTTTACATTAGAGACGTGTGGTGCGTCTTCCTTCCTGCCACACGTGTGGCAGTTAGCGCGACCCATCTTTTTTGTACCACATATAGGTTTGTAATGAAGTTTAGACTATGTACACCATTCTACTCTTTTATGGGTAGTGTAAGCAATGAGATGGTTGAATTTACCATTGTCCAGCAAGACGCAAAACCCAATGACTGTTATTACATAGATGAAGCAAATTAATTTCTGGTCATACACGCCGACCTAATCGCTAACAATTAGTGATTGTGCCACGATAGGGCACTATGTTTGAATGTAGCATTCTATCATCTTAGTTTGAATGTAGTACCGTAATTGTGCACTATCTGCCTTTGCATTATCTAGCCTGGATTCTTCATGTAGAACATGTTTCATTTAATAATAATATATTAGCTCAGGTTTTCACATAATTTTCCGTGTAATAATGTTGCAGGGATCTGCTGAAAGCATACTCCAAGTGTGAAAATGGCACGGAGATAATCAACGTGCAGAACTCCTGGCTGTCAAGCGCATCGAGTGTTTCAAAGTCACCTGTAAACGGTAACAACCACATCACATCTCAGAGCATTGGAATTTGGCAAAATCTATCCATACGCAAATTGTACTAAGATTGGTTCTGCGGACATTGATTTTACTTTGTCATTGTTTGTGCATCACAGTGGCAGACAAACCACACCGAAGCACAGAGGAGGAAGGATCAGATTCTGAATCTGACGACGGCTTGCCCCCTCTGGAAGAGAACATGAACCACTTGGACCTTAGCGAGGAGGAAGAAAGCGAAGAGGAAAGTGAAACTGAAAACGAAGGGATTACCGACGCAAAATGATGTTTGTTTGTCCGATCGAAATAAGATCCAGGCCTCTTGAGGTGTTGGTCGTGGATCTGAAAACAATATATCTCTGTACACTTTATTGCTTGCTTTGTGTACCAGTATATGCAAGTGTAAACCGTAAACACACGCACTCTTTGACAACACGAGTGCGTTTATTAGACCATATATATGTGTTCCCATTATTGTTCCGTCCATATATTAACCAGTGAGCATTCATTAGAGCATACATTTATGATTGTCCGGCGCGTATGCATAATCGTAGTTGATCAGCACGAGCCAGTAAGTAATATATTTTGTACTGTAGTACTTAAGTGTCAACGCGTCGGCGTATCTCGCAGCGTTATTGTACGAACGTGCGTGCGTATACATGAATGAGTGAGCAGTGCAGGACTGCACGAGACGTCTAGGCGAGGAAGCTGGTGAGCCTGGCGCAGGCCTCGACGACCCTGTCCCGGCTGTTGAAGGCGCTGACCCTGACGAAGCCCTCGCCGCCGGGGCCGAACCCGCTCCCCGGCACGGTGATGACGTGCGTCTTCTCGAGGATCTCGGCGAACACGTCCCACGACCGGCGGCCGGGGAAGAGGCGCACCCAGACGTAGGGCGAGTCGTCGCCGCCGTACACCTCCTTGTCCAGCGCCTGGAAGGTGTCCACCAGCACCCGCGCGTTCTCCTTGTACCCGGCCACCACGCTTGCCACGGCGGCGCGCCCCTCCTCCGTCGCCAGGCACGCCAGCCCGCCCGCCTGCGCCACGCTGGACGCGCCGTTGAAGCAGGTGGTGACCACGCGGTCGAAGTCCCGGGCCACGCGGGTGCCGTCGGCGTAGAGCAGCTCGTCGGGGACGACGGCCCAGCCCAGCCGCACGCCCGTGAACCCGGCGAACTTGGAGAAGGAGGAGATCTCGATGGCCACCTCCCGCGCGCCGGGCACCTCGTAGATGGACCGGGGCTTGTCGTCGCCGCCGCCGGGGGAGACGTAGGAGGCGTAGGCGGAGTCGAAGACGACGATGGAGCCGTTGCGGCGCGCGAAGTCCACGAGCTGCCGCAGCTGGTCGCGCGACGCGGCGTGGCCCGTGGGGTTGTTGGGCGAGCAGAAGAAGATGACGTCGGTGCGGCGGACGCGCGACAGGTCCGGGAAGAAGGCGTTCTCCGGCGCGCACCGCATGTACTCGATCCTGGCGTACCTGCTGCCGCCGGACTCCTCGTCCGCCGCCGGCCCCGTCTGCCCCATGATCACGCCGTTGTCCACGTACCCCGGGAAGGTGGGGTCCTGCACGGCGATGGTCACGTCTCGCCCGAACATCATCTGCATCACAAGAAGAAACAAGATGAGATTCTTTCTTCGGAAAGGCACTACTGTTTAATTTCACCGTCCGTGGAAACCAGTAGTAGTGGTAGTTTTGCTGAACCTGGAGGCGTGCGATGTCGCACTGCGCTCCGTCGGAGATGAACACCTCGGTGTCTCGTATCCCCATGCTTGGGTACACTACGTCAGCGATGGCCTTCCTCAGACTCTGCATGCATACGCATGTGTTAGTTAATTTCGTGATCGTAAGACGCTTAATCATCTCTTGTTTCAGTCAGAAATCGTAATTACCTTCTGGCCTTGCTCTGGCCCGTAGCCTTGGTAACCTTCAGGAGTTGATAATGCAAGCGCGTACTGCAAGAATAGGAGGATAAACCATGAAATTTCATTTCTTTTACCACAGTTGCTTCAAACAAAACTGTTCTGGAAGCAAATTTGTCGGTCAATTTTGAGCTAGCTACGTAGAAGTAAGTATCAAAGTCAAGCAGCGCAAGCAAGCGTAAATCTGTTGTCGGGTCTCAGTCGTCGCCTTTTCGTCCTGTGATGTGATGTTAACACAACATGCATGTATGGCCGGCCACATAAAATACAATGTGTATCTGCTGGACACAGCCATGCATTAGCTGATCAGTAGTGCGTGATTTGAAAGCACTTTCAGTGTACTTATTCTAGAATTAGGGTTGGCCAGACGCAGATGTAGTGCGACAAAGATGTGATCGATCATCACAAAATAAAGATCGGGCACAAATCTGGTAGCACAGACTAGTCCACGAGAGTATCAGCCGTGGTAGGCAAATAAAGCAGCCATGCACATGCAGTGTCAGACACCTTATCCTACCGTGCGTGTGATATAGTATCTCCAGGCCCCGATCAGAGGTGAATGATGCAAGTACACCTAAATAATCTTCTCTTATCCACTTCCAATTTTAGGGGGTTGTGGCAGCACAGATGCAGGCAGGGCTTGACAAAGAAAGAAAGTTTTGAATGGTAGGCATGCAGAGAATGTAGCATGTAAAGAAACAGACTGTCATTGGAGATAAGGGTTTGACAAGTCCAACTCCAATCTGATGCTGTTGTATGATGGAGCTTCAGAATCTAGCTAGCCTTGCACTTGCTGTCTATCACGACGACGTACGACACGGGGTCTCCTTCTCTGCCTGGGAGAAAGGTCTTCTGTGCACGTGTATACGTGTAGTTAACCAGTGAGGATCAGATACGTCACGCTAATTAATAACTATCGAAATTGTTTGGTGCGTTCGGCAGAGGACTACTGATGGGGTGCAGAGCTAGGATAGACAGTATGTTCTTGGTGATCAATGACTTGTAGTACTAGTTAATTAGCGTAGTTGGTGAATTATCTTGGCCGTTGCAGTACCAGGAATTAACCTAGCTAGCTTGCATATATTATGGTTGTGCCAACCATTCCCTTCCTTTTATGCATATATGTATGCCTTGTTCAAAGATCATCAGAAATATCCATGCAATTATTGGGCATTTGCACATGAAATAGACTCGACTAATTAATCAGCTCCCGTGTTGTATTTCGCTAGCACTGCAGGATACGTACGTGGATGCCTTTATTTATGATAAGATCACGATATAAGAATTTATTAGTCCAACTAAATATGACGTGAGAGGATTATATATCTCGTCTAGATTTGATGTAGTGCCATTTCTGCTATAAAACGATCATGTGGTTTTGCATTCATATACGCACGCATGTTCAAGGGTAAAAGGAATTTAGCTTCTACTTACATGTTGGTGGTGTTAGAAGTGTACATGAAAGGGTGTATGAGTAGTATATACCTCGGCCATGGCCGAAGTGACGATGCTTGGCATGGGTTGGGTCGTGTCCCCGATGCCCAAGCTGATGACCTTGGCGTCTGGGTACTTCTTCTCGTGTGCTTCACGTCTCATGCTAATCTGAACCGCGTGCCAAAAGGATGATATATTAGTTAGCGAGTGAAGAACATTCGTACATGCTAAAATGGCAGTGAAATCCCTAAGTCTTCTGTACGTACCTCCGGGAATAAGTAGCCGTTCTGAAGCTTCTCCATGTTTGGATTGCGACGCACGCTCGTCCGAGACGCTGAATTGTTAGGATGCACAAGCACAAATTCAGAGATGGCCAAACATTAGGAGATCGATGGCAAGAGTACTACTAATGCTACAAGGATCAAAGAAAGAATAAACACAGTAAGTACCTGGTCCCCTCTTTACAGGAGGCGCAACATCCAGCGGAAGGACAGCCTTCTCCAGCACCCTGCTTAATTGGATGATCAAATCAAACAAAACAACGAAAACAGCGATTACACACATGATTAACACGCAGGGATCATTGATAGATCCATGGTCTATATATACACACAACGAAAAGCGCGATTGTAAGTATGTATATACTTGGAGATCATGTTCGTCGGCATGATGGATCGATGCGGGAGCCTCTTGGACTGGTCGGCTGAGAGCCTCTTGATTCAGAGAGTACTCTCTTGGTGCGAGGTTGCTATAGCCTATAGCTAGCAGCAGGAGGTGTGGTAGCTCTAGGAGGCAAGGAACAATGGAGCTCCTGGGTGTGTATTTATAGGGCTGGGAGGAGCAGACACGATTAACCAAAGGTGGCAACTGGCAAGAGAGCAGCGCGGGCAATGCTGGATTTATAGAAGAGCCTAGCAACTACGGAGTAGCTAGCTAACCGGCGTTGAAAAGTAGCCCTTGCCACCGGCTGGTCCACTTTGAAAAATGGTGTCCATGGTCGGAAGCAAGCCAAGAGCTGATTTTCATTTCAAGAGGATACGAATGCGATCGCTAGCTGCAGTTTAGGCAGTCTTCGGCTAGGCACGGTTTGTCCCCCCCATGGACAAAATCTTGGTTTGGGGTGTCCACACCTGGCGCTGCCCGAACGCACGCCACGTGTGCTAGCTAGCGGACGGACTACATGTGTGATTTTCCTGGCAAAGGGCGCTCTTCGTCCATCTCACCAAACCATGCGTCTGAATTTGGTCATAAATTCAGATGTTGAAATCTTCTTGTATATCCTGGATCATGTGAAGATTTCGGAGGATGCCTAGCTATCTAGGTGAACAACACATGTTCATTTCTTGCATGTTATTTTTCGGACCACTGTATTGATCCATATGTGGTCGCTACTCACTCCGACGGATGTCAGTGGGTGTATGGTTACTGGGTCTATTCGGTGGGAGACGGTAGCACAGGTTATCTTCAACCGTTTTGGATGGCGGTCATGTAATAGGATAGGTGTTTAATTTTCTATCTACCTTTTGCCTGCCAATTGTGGCTATCCTGTTTTTTGTATTTATTACTCTTTGTGAGCATTTTTTACTTTTTGAAACATGGAGACTTTGTTGAACCTTTTGGTTTTTAATAATATGGTTGTATGCATCGTTCTATGCAGAGGCCGGGGGATAACCTCCTTTTGGAAAGAAAAAAAGCTATCTAGGTGAAGAGTAATTTGCTTTTTGTACTCCTTCTGGACATTTTTACTCCGCGTATTACATTCGTGTCAAGTCAAATATTACAATGTTAGACCAAATTTATATACTACGAAACTATGTTTCATAATGAATCTAACAGTATTGATTTGGCATTGTGGATGTCGATATGTTTCTCTATAAATTTGGTCAAAACAGAGATAGTTTGACTTCGCACAAAACTTATATGCAGACTAAAAATT